AGCATGGTCTACCTATGTTTAAATCTCAGCTCTGCCGTATGTGGCTGCGTCAGTCTTCTCCTCTGTAAAATGTTAAAATGTTATAATAGTTAAGCAGTATGATGACAGCACCTTGTATTGTATTAACAATAATGAAGACACTGTCCCCACGGCTTGGTAAAGTAAGGCAATTATCGTAGTTATATCTTTAGGGTCTAGAACTTAAGTGACAGGAGTCAGTAGCCTGCTGGAAATCAAACTCACCAGCAACATTTACTAACAATGAAATCAACCTAAAATGAAACCCCAAGAAAAACTGATTTGAAAAAATGTAAAAGTTGTACTCTTCAGGGTAAAGCGTGCATCTTGAGGGTACAGACAGATTATTCATTCATTTATTTAACAAATAGTTACTGAATACTTTATAAGTGCCAGGCACTGCAGTGGGTGTGGAGACATGGAATGGACAAGATTCATGTACTCTGGCATCGTAGAGTCTACAGTCTGATGATGGGCGACGTAAAAGGAAATGCATTATTCCCTGAGCTAATTTTATGGCAGAGAATAACACGATCAAGCGCTTACTGTAGACAGAATAGTTAGGAAGGTCTAGTTAGGAGGAGGTGATGTTTAAGTTGAGACCAGAAGGATGGATGACATGGAGTTAGCCTTGTGAACAGTGACAGAAAGAATTAAGAGACCAGCATATGCAAAGGCCCCGGGGTATGTAGAGGACTCTGTCTCATAAATCTCTGGACTTCTTTCACACAAACTGTCTGAAGCTCTCCCCATCCCTCTTGCCAGCTGCCTTTCTGACTCAGACTTACAGTGTGAGTAGGGCGCCAGATTGAGGTCCTAGCTGGTTATACCCATTTGACATATCAACCTAAAAATATGCTGGGACAGTCTTCCCTTTCTACACATTTGCCACAGGCTGTATCTTGCTTACTGTGACTTAGCCATTCAATCAAGACTGCCCTTGACATTTATCTCATTCTGATTTTTTTTTTCCCTACATTTTTGCCTCAGGTCCTGAGAGAATGGCTGCTGACACAAGGTAGATGCTCAAAAATTACTTGCTGCATCTTTGGATGAATTTCATTAGAGCATCAGAGAGCTAATTTTTGTTGTTGTTTGTGGCTTTATTTGCTTGTTTATTTTAACATAGGTGGGACACAGGGAGTACAAACTGGATGGAATTTGAAGGAGAATGGTAGGGCATTCTGGATTACCAGAGGGCTGCCTGGCTATGCCGCTCATTAACGACATGACCTTGGCCTAGTCTTCCCACTTGAGCCTTGACATTCTCAACTACAAATGAGGGCTTTAGACCAAGTACCCTTGAATATATAATTTGTTTCTGTCTACGAATCCATGGGGTATAAATATTTGCCACTCCTTCCATACTACTGTGCTAAGCTTCCATGCTACTGTGAAAGAAGCATTATCTTTAGGCATTAACTCAGCTCATGCAATAATGATGCCTTATATTTGACAGAAATTTATCATTTACAAAGCACTTTCATTTACATTATCTTATTTGATTTTAATCAGTCATGTAAGGTATTTAAGATAGTTAAATTTTTTTTTTTTTTTTTACATCTGACATAATGTGAAACTTGCCCAAGGTCACAAAGAGACAGAAAAGGGAATGAATGACACGTGTCTGTGCTGTTCTGATTATAGGTGGCACAATGAATCAGATAGGCTCTCTATCATGTGGGAGTGAAGCAACTTTTTTTAGTTTACTCCCTAGAATAGCGGTCACTACTTTAGAAAAAAATGTTAATGACAGTTTTGACAATGTTGAAAGGTAAAGAATCTTTTTTTGTATGAAGTTCTTTAGTAGTAAGGATCAGAAACATAGGTCAGCTCACCTGGGGAAGGGGAACATTGTAGGAATTAGCAATCTCATGGACAGGGGATACTGCACTCCTCATAGTAATTGGGAAATAATCTCTAGGCGTTTCTTCCTAGGACTTAATTGTTTGTCTGCTTTTCTTGGAACTCCCAAGACTGCTCTCTCTTATCTGAAGAGCAGCTTCCTCTGCTTACTCATGGTTCTTGTTTCCCTATAACCATGGCTCTCACATGGCTTAGCTTGCTGGGACCAGGTCTGGCCCGCTGACTACAAGATGTGCCTGATCCATCACTCACCATAGGCTACAGTCAATCTCTTCCTCTTTTCGCTCCTGGGGTCCAATCTGCTGGGGCTGGTGGGGATGGGGCAAGAAGGAGTCATGTGACACCCCCATCAAGTTCTACCTTGCTATGAACTGAATGTTTGCGTCCCCTCCAAAATTCAGTTGAAACCCTAATTCCCAATGTGCTAGTATTAGGAGATGGAGTCTTTGGGAGATAACTAGGGTTAACTGAGATCATGAAGGGGGAGCCTCCATGATGGCATTAGTGTTCTCATAAGAAGAGGAAGGAAGACCAAAGCTCTTTCTTTCTCCACCATGTGAGATTTCATTTGCAAGCCAGGAAGAGAGCCCTCTCCAGAACTTGACCATGACGGCACCCTAATGTCAGACTTTGTAGCCTCCAGTGGTGTGAAAAACAAATGTCCGCTGTTGAAGTCATCCAGTCTATGGTATTTTGGCCAGTCTGAATTGACTAAGACAAACCTCTATATGAGGATTTATGAACAGGTTCCTAGGCAAGGGAGTTTGCAAATTGAAGAGACACCCCAAAACATACCTACTACCCCTCCTTTTTTATTTAAGTTTCACAGGATCATCTTGGTTCTCCTTTTCTTAGGTGCCTCCAATCTTCTAAGTATAACTTACTCTCTGACAATTCTCTGACAGAATAAGTAGTTATTCTCTGACAATTAAGGAGAAACAAAAACAAAACCAAAAAAAAAAAAAGACGACAAAACACCCACATTTGTCCCTGAAATTTAAAATATGAAGGGTGGTTCCATCATTTTCTGATTGTAGGGTCAAAAAATGAACAAGCAACTAGACTAGCAATCGAATGCCTTTAGATCTCAAACTTCATCCTATCACTGGTTTCTGGATGGATTATTTATTGCCCTTGAAATTCAGCGGAATGTGGCTGGGTGCGGTGGCTCACACCTGTAATTCCAGCACTTTGGGAGGCTGAGGTGGGTGGATCACCTGAGGTCAGCAGTTCCAGACCAGCCTGACCAACATGGAGAAATCCCGTCTCTACTAAAAATACAAAATTAGCCGAGCGGGATGGCGCATGCCTGTAATCCCAGATACTTGGGAGGCTGAGGCAGGAGAATCGCTTGAACCTGGGAGGCGGAGGTTGCAATGAGCCAAGATTGCGCCATTGCACTCCAGCCTGGACAGCAAGAGCGACACTCTGTCTCAAAACAAAACAAAACAAAACAAAACAATAAAAGAAATTCAGCGGAATGAGGAATCTTAAAAACCTAAAAGCTAGAAGGGGTTTTATTGGATTATCTAATCTCTGGATTTTACAGCAAAAGACATTGACATTGGGCCTTAGGTCACAGAATGACTAGAGGTAGAATCAGTGGAATATTTCTCCTAACACAACGTTTGCGATCTTTTCATTACATCATCTAAGCAGAGCCTGTAGGGGTTAACTCTGAGAACTGGGGATGATGCTTGTGATAATGCAGCATAAAGTCAAGTCTAAATGTAAGCTATGATTCTAAGATGGGAACACAGAATGGGGATGGAAGACAGGAATCTTCACCATGTATGAATGTACAGGAAACAACCAATAAATGCCTTTATTCTTGTTCTGTAAAAACTTACATGTAAATAAAAGATCCCCGAAATCGATCTGAACTCTGTTATTGCCACAAACTTTTATCAGAAAAATGGAGATTGGGATGTTCCCACTGCCAGATGGTATAGGAATATGGTTGAATGTGGACTATGATCACAGACTGGTTTCAACGGTGGGCTCTGTCACTCAATATAGTTGTGTGACAGTTAGGCAAGTTTGTACCACTTAGAAAACTTCTTCCCTGGGTCAAGCAACCCAATTTTACTTGCTTCTGTCGCCCAATATACAAAATAGGGTAGTAACACACACTCCATAGGGTTATTCTTAGGCTTAAAGTAACCAATATTTGTGAAATTATAAGAACAGTGTTTGGCACATAGTAAACATATTATATGTGTTACCTGTCGTTATTGTTACTTGCTTTTCTGTTGCAAGGACTAAAAGCTATTCTTCTGGAGTAGGGAAATTTCCATTTAAAATTCCACTGGCTAGGTTAGAGGTTTCAGTTGATTTAGCAATGAATTAGACATGGAAAGGAATTATTCCTTTCACGGTGGCTTCATCTTTATCGGTATCCACTACAAAATTCATAAAGTGGGCATTATGTGCTTTTCACAGACCAGAAAACAGGCTAGAGAAGGTAACTGCTTGGCCACAAATGGAAGTTGAGCCAGTCGTGGCTAATGGTACAAACTACATTTGAGTCTACAAAGCAACAGATGAAAGTCTTCTCCAAGTGAAGACTTTCCGGACTTAGAAAGTCCTCACAATTCCATGGACCTGTAAGAAGATAGGGTGGGGGACTTCATCCCTCTTTCAGCCTAGGACCAATTTGGCTCAGAGGCCTTTTCCCATGCCACCCAAGGCTCCCTGAGAAATCCGGCTCCACAAAGTGGGAGAACCCAGGGTCGGGCTTGCTGTGAGGAAGGTCGGCCCAGTCCTTCCCGAGCCTTCCTCAGGGAGACCTGGGGGGATCTCACTTCCCTGCAGAAGTCTGTGGAGTTTAATTTGTAAATTTATGCCGAAACTACACTTTTGTGTTAAAGAGCAAGGACGGCCAAGAAGCGGCAACACGAATAAGAGCGCAGGGAAATGGGGCCTGCGAACGACCTCGGCCTCGGGAACTCCCGCAGTGCCGCCCCACGCGCGACGCCCACCCGAGGACAGCCACCCGCCTCCGCTCCTGGAGGAGGCGTGGTCGACGCGCACCGCCATCTTGGACGCCTTTCTAGGAGCTCTGTTTACCACTCTATGGTCGCCCGCTCCCGCCCCGCCCCTTCCCAGTCATTGTCTGGAGGAGCAGCCGCGGCCGCAGCTCCTTCTCTTTATAAGCCCGCAGTTCCCGGATGTGAATGGATTACAATGTATCTTTCAGGGAAACCTATTATTATCAATGTGACTCCACGGGGGAGTCCATGGTGATGATGATGAGGAGGAGGATGATGATGATGAGACACCTCTAAACTTGGAACAAGTTTAATACTTGAGAGAAGAAGAAAAAAAATCACCAACAAGATTTGTTTGAGGAAAAATTATAACTATCCTGTGTTGATTTTTGTTTTTTATAAACAATAAGAAAAAGTTGTTGGATTTTTTTTTTAATGATTTCTTTTTTGGGGGAGGGAATTTTGTTGCAGTTTTATGGTGGAAAATGCAAAAACCAGAGCCAGGTGCATAATCTTGTAATCTGTGGATATCCCTGGAGCAGGACTGAGTACCAGTTAAAATACTTTTTGGGGATACACATGTGAGATACTAAGTACTTGCAGAAGATTTTTGTCTATCTTTTTAAAGTCTCTTTCCTTGGAATATTGTGAGAATATTTGTGGCCATTTAAGGTAACGTTTCAATTTGCCGTCAGAGTAAACTGTTTGTAATTGAATTTAATTTTTAAGATGTCGATCCCGATGTTTTATTAAAACAAAAGGGACAACCTATTAAATAATTGCCAATGGGAAAAAGTGTGTGCATGCATTTTGTGTATGTACTCGCACATCTAGCAATACCAGGGTTTGTAGAATGTGTGTTTTTTTTTTTTTTTTCCAAACACACGTTAAAATAGCGTATGTTGCATATACCGGATAAAGCACGCTTGTTATTACAAAACGATAGAATTATAAAGCTTAAATTTTATCCTAAAAAGTGATGTGAAAAAGTATGTTTTAAGAGCATGCAGGGCCTATAATGGTAAATGTTGAATTAAAAACTTAGTGTTGGCGAACAGGGACTTAGCGTGCCTAGGAACTCAAGTGCAAAAACAAAACAACATCCACCCCCAAAAATTGTCCTTTTTTTTTTTTTCCCCCCCCGAAGTTTGCAGTTATACTATTCTGTGACTTAAAAGGGAGGGGAAAGAAAGTGTGCAATTCAGATTTCGCCCCCAACGCAAAACTACCGAAACGAAAATCTCCCCAGGAAAATGTGGCTTGATTTATAGACGAAAAAGAAAAATATTGTTCCTCTTGGCAAAGTCTTTTTGCATCACGTGTATTTGCAGCCTAGTATAAACTTGCTTTGCCGTGTGTGGATGTGTGAGTGAGAGGGAACGAGAGTAAGAGAAAGAAAGAAGTGAAGGGATGTAAACTCGAATAAATTTCAAAGTGCCTCCGAGGGATGCAACGGGCAAAAACTGAACTGTTCAGGCTTCAGATTGTAACTGACGATCTGAGGAAAAATGAGGTGCTCGATGAATTTTCGTTTGTATTTTTTGGCGAGGCGGGGGAGGTGTTGAGATTTTTTTTTTTTTTTTCCCTTGGGGTGGGTGCGAGGGGGATCATCCTAGCCTGCCCGACCCGGAGCAAGTCGCGTCTCCCCGCCGGAGCCCCCCCACCCATTTCTTTGCTGAACTTGCAATTCCGTGCGCCTCGGCGTGTTTCCCCCTCCCCCCTTCCCTCCGTCCCCTCCCCTCCCCGGAGAAGAGAGTTGGTGTTAAGAGTCAGGGATCTTGGCTGTGTGTCTGCGGATCTGTAGTGGCGGCGGCGGCAGCGGCGGCGGCGGGGAGGC